AAATAAATAAATAAATAAATAAATAAATAAATAAATAAATAAATAAAAAGAAATCTCAAAATCTGCCCCCACTGACATGCTTCCTCCAGCATGGGCACGCCTCCTAAACGTTACATGACCCTCCCCAACAGCACCACGAACTGGGGACCAAATGTTCAAATACTTGTAGTCTTTGAGGAATATTTTCATTCAAACTACCACAAAAGGACTGATGGAAAATATCACACATTTTATAAAGTTTGATAATAAAAACAACAAAAGATTTTAGTGGACTGAAAAAATGCTGTTGTTATTGATACCAAATTAAGACAACAGAACAGAGAGGAAAAATCCCTTAATGCAGTATTTATGGACTGGACCACAGACAGGTAGCTTTCTGTAAGTCTGCTCACTTTTCTGATTTCTTCAGAAATGCCTAATCTCTCCTTTTCTTTTCTGGATCTCTTTTCTAAGCATGCTTTCCCAAACACTCTGGGCTGTCCCAAAGTTTTGGGTTTATTTAGTTTTTCTTTGATGCTACCTTCCCTTTCCTACCATATGGCTGCTAGTCTACCATGTGTGTCACCTCTATGCCAGCACTAAATTAGCGTGGATTTATTTGGGTTTTTTTTTTTTTTCCTTCTCCCCTCCATTCTCTTCCTGAGGGCAGCTACTGAGATTTATAGCTTGCCTGCACTGAGGATTTTTTTCCTTAAATTCTAGCAAAACTGTCCTATATCTTCTATATGAGTCCATTTAAATTCTTTTATGACTGAAACTAAGAACGTTGAAAGGGAATCCCATTTTTCCCTTGCATCAACAGGTGTGTGGCATGGAGCCTACTGGACTAGCTGTGTGTGCTATGAATGGCAGAGATAGAGAAGTGGAACTGACCAAGCTTTGTGGAGTCTAGAAGATTAAGAGTGAATCCCAGGCATCAGATGCTGAGCTATTTACACTGCTTGATTTTTGGTTTTGCTTTGATATGCTTATACCCTGGTTATCCCCTCTAGGAGTAAGAAACAATTTGTTGTTTATTTTACAAAACCCCCATAGCTAACAGACTTTTGGGATTTTTTTAAAAGAGATACTGACCTTTTAAAGTATTGGAATGTTTAAGGACTGTGGGGCTTTTAAAGTTGTATTATACCTTATATTGTGATATTAATATTAACACAAGATCTTGGGAACAAGAGATGGAAACGTTATGGTTTAATAGTGATGTGTGTCAAGTTGACAAAGGGTCAATTGTGCTGAATAGCTTTAGTTGTCAACTTGACACACTGGGACCTCAAATGGGAAATTTCTTCTATCAGATTGGCCTGCGGGCATATCTTTGAGGCATTCTCTTGATTATTGAGTGATGTGGGAGGATCCAGCCCACTGTGGATAGTGCCACCCCTAGGCAAGTGGTCCTGGGTTATATAAGAAAGCAGACTGTACACAGGCCAGAGAAGCAAGCCAGGAAGCATCTTTCCTCTGTTGCCTCAGTTCCTGCCTCTTAGTTCCTTCCCTGAGTTCCTGCCTTGGCTTCCCTCAATGATGAACTGTGATCAGGACATGTAAACCAAATATACTTCTTCCTCCTCAAGTTGGTTTTGGTTAGAGTGTTTTATCACAGCAACAGAAAGATACCTAGGACAGGGTTCCAGAGGGATAAGTGTCCATTTTGGCAGGAAGTATGGCAGCAGAAGTGGCCAGAGCAGAAGGGTGAAAAACAGAAAGCTGAGAGCTCACATCTTCAAGCTGGCACTGGAAGCAGAGAGAGACAGAAACCAGAAATGGGATAAGACTGTGAACTATCAAAGCTCCCTGCCCCCAAAGTATGGCTTCCTCCAGCAAAGGCCGCACCTCCTACCTAGAGATTCCATGACCTTCCTTCCCCATGTAGTGCCACCAACTGACCAAGTGTTCAAATACTTGAGCCTGTGGGAGACACCTCATTCAAACCACAATGTTTACACTTATGAATGCTGCTCTCAGCCTTGGTCAGAAAAGCTTCATTTTGCAGTCAGTGGGTACTACAGAGACTAGTTACTCATGAAACTCATCAAAGTGCTGAAGATAAGTGTTTGTTAAATGCTCAACCCTAAGTGAGACATCTGTATTGTTGGCTTAAGGTGCAGGTCAAACAATTTCTGTTCCTAATATACATTTTTTGCAGGGGAGAAATGTACACTGCATATGCTGGGAGAATAACTTCCCATTCCATATCAAATTTAATCTTTCTTACCTATTAATACTTCATCACTATGTCAACTGTGAGTTGCTGTTCAGATTTTCAAACTTTCCAGAAAGTCAATAGCACAGCATTTGACTTTCTGTTACATCTCTCCTCTAGGAACTCTGGTTTGACACAAATCTTGCCACATTTGCCTCAAATAGCCCAGATAAATCCCTTTGTCTGTTTTTTTCTCTCATTTCCTTTTGATTGTCTTTAAACCTTATTAACCCTATTTACATGCCTACTAAAGTCATTCAGATTCACCAGAGTTTTGCCTACCTCATAAAGACCACCACATAAAGGCCATCATGGGGCTCAGCAAAGCCAATAAAGCCACATACCATTCCTGAGGTCCTTGCTGAATCAGTCTTTCTTAACTCTCTTGTAAACACATTATTTCTGGGTCCAGTGAACTGGACATCAAACACTGCCTCTAATTCTCTGAGTAATGCCTGTGCTTCCTCTATCAACTGCCTGTCCCTGATGTTCATGGGAACTTCAAATGATGATAACAAAGAATCTCTAATAGCTCCTATATAAGAATGCCATCAGGGACGGTTTTCCCTTTTTATTGTCTCTGGTTATTTGAACTTTGTATTACTTGGTTTTTTCATTTTCTTTTTGTGCTTGTGAGTACAATGTTGGAATTACAGGCTGCTGTAAGCAGCCCAACATGGGTGCTGGGAATTGAATTCAGATCCCCTGGAAGAACAGTACACACTCTTAACTACTGAGCTATCTCTCCAGGCCCACCACTCAGTTTTTATGACACCTATGTTAAAGATTCTACAAGACTGATTAAAACTTCATGATTGTGGAAAGTTGAAATATTGCACATCCAGAGCCAAGCTATCTTGGTTTATGTTTGGTTTTCTTAATAGCCATTTATTGCCCACCTCTGTGTCTGATCTAATATTCTTTCAACTACCAGGTAAAAACTTTGAAATGTATTAAGAGAACATTAGCTTCCAGCAACACAAAAGCTAAGAATGTCATTAGAAAACACCCAAAACCTATAGCACAGTTTCCTTCCCTTTTCTATAACCTGTCTACCTGCTGTTCTCTCTCTCCCATAAGCCCTTCTTATATATGTGGCAAGTGCCTTGATTTGTGGATTTCTTTTGTTCTGTTATTATAAAAGTTCATGTAACCACTTCTACTTTGGATCAGTATTTGAGGCAACCTGAATCTGTGTTTCTAGGCCATAGTCTTATGAATATATTTAATACAGAATATGCCATCTGTAATTTTCTTTGAGCTGAGAGATGTGTTTTAGATAGACAATTTCCCCGTGTTTCAACATATATTAGGAAACAGAAATTAGTAAAGGATAATGGATTCACTTACAGTTTGGACAAAGTTTTGGAGAGGACTTTAATATTAACACCTCCATGTCAGTGACCATCTAACAAATATAGAAAGCCACGAAACAAAGGCTAGAAAATCTGGAAATTTAGCTGTTAAGCAAGTTAATCCTTTCTTGGGGTAAAGAGGACCTGGGCCCCAGATTTCCTCTGTTTTATATCACAAAGACAGGTGTTTAAAATTTTATTTATTCATGTATGTGTATTTGTGTGTCTATGTAGATGCCCACAGAGACCAGAAGGGAATGTCCTATGGAGCTAGATTTACAGGCTAGGATCCAAACTTCAATCCTCTGATAGAGCAGTAAGTAGCCTGACCACTAAGCCACCTCTTCAATCCCCTGAGACAGTTTTAAAATTCAAGGCTGTGCTGAGAAAATGGAATCTTAAAGATCCCTCACAGCCTTAGTAGTTTTCTGAGAACTATCGGGGAAAAGTCAAACACTAGAGTCCCTCCCCATCTGTGGGCTTTTCTGAAGGAATGTGGGAAGAAATACCCGAAAAGGAAGATCAGTCCATGATTTGGAAGGGAAAGGGGTCACCTTACCCTATGAATATAGCATCCACTTCGTAAAAACTTTTAAATCCCAGATGCAAACCCATTGTGCTGCTAACCCTACTTTGCAACAGTCCAGTTTAGTTGGTTCTTGTTTGTTTTGGGGTTTTGTGGAGTGCTTGCTTTATGCAGGCATCAACTGTGACTAAATCTTTTTCCTCCTAAGGAAAATCTCTGTAACACCATTTCCCATTGCATAGGGACCAAATTACACAAAAGCACTGCACAATGAACAGAGATGCAATGGCTAATAAGGCAGAAAAATCATGTTTGTAAGATCATATAACGATGTACAAAATCAAACTGTTGTGAAACAGCCTTCACAAGGCAATGAGCCCTAAGTCCTGTACACAGACCTACGTCAAACCCACTCAGTTCTCACAGCCTACGAGGCTTTGCTTTACAGTAGGCCCCAAGAGTGGCCCGGTAGATGTCGTGAAAGTCAAGCAGCCTCTCCGGAATCTGTGCGTCCTGCTTTGCGGCAACTCTTGGCAGGAAAGTGCGGCGGGCGGTTGGAGATTCCTCGCCCCGCCCCCGCCAGCTCTCTACACTCGGGGAGACCGGAGTAGGCTAGGACCCAGCGCTGTGCGCCGGTTAACAGCCATTCTCCGTCGCCGGTACCATGGAAGCGGCGGTGGATGCCGAAGTCGAACCTGAGAATGGCGACAGCAGCTGCGCAGACGTGTGCTTCATGGACAAAGGCCTGCAGAGGTAGCGCGGGCGCCCGGCTGGCCCTCCGGGTCGGCGGCCTCGGAGCCCGGCCCCCTTCCGTCCTCCCGGCGCAGCCCGGCCCCCTCCCGTCTCCCCTCGGAGCCCCGGCCCCATCCGGTCCTCCACTTGGAACCCCAGCCCTTCAGTCCTCCCGGCGCAGCCCGGCCCCCCTCTGTCCTCCAGGCAAAGCCTGAGCCCCTTGGGTCCTCCCGGCGGAATCTCGCCTGGTCCCTCTCTCCGGGTTCCCGCTCCCCTCTCGGCTCCCTCCCCGCCGGCCTAGTGATGTTGGCTACCTCGCTCACCTGTTGAAGCTGACTTGCGGCCCTTACTGTTGCTTCTCTGAGCCGGAAAGGAAGTGGCCAACCCTTGCCTCTTGCTTGCCAAGCCAGCAGCTCTAGAGCGTTCTCAACCCTCTGCTCCGCAGCTGGTACCTCCCGTCTCCTCACCCCATTTTAATTTCTTGTGCACAAAGTACTCTCAAACACACATCAGTATACTTGTCGAAAGTGCCACACATTTCTCACTTAGCTGACCTTCAAACTGCAGGGCTTGTCAGGCTCCTGGTTTCGCAGTATCCAGCGAGTCCCGCCTCCCCTTCTGCTCTTCAGTTGCTTCAGTTTAACTTGGTAGCTAGCTAATACTATGGTCCAGACAGTTCCATCGCAGGTGGAGGTGCCCTACTCTGTGAAGCTTGGTACTTAATAATTAAGCATCTTAGTCTCAGTCCTGACCTAAAATTCGCAAGGGAATATGTTTTGAAAAGAACACTTGCATTTATATTTAGTGATACCTATCATTTCCAGAATGCCATCTCCTTGTGCCTGTTATGACTGTTATGAACATCATTAATCCCAGAAACAGTTCTGCAAGCCCATTTTTCTAATAAGTTGTGAATCTGAGACTTAGAGGAATTATAGAATTTTTCTAACTTAATGCAGATAGTGAGGAATTAAATTCAAAAATACTAATTTCCAGAAATTGATGTATGAAAGTAGATGGCTGTTAAGAGCGTATGGTAATAAATAGCATAAGATCTGGCCCAACATGATTGAGCAAATGTCAGAAGTTTGATAATTGGCAGATACTTCAGATGACACCTTTAGAAGTTGGAGGGTTGAGATTTCAGATGCTTCCCTGCTGCCAGTTAGGGTTGCTACAACTTCAGAGTAGCCAGTGCAGAATCTGTCACAGATGCCCATGACGTTGTTCCTAACTGCATTGTGGTTTGTATTGTGGGGCTATTAGTGTGTGCCTTAGAAGTTCTAGGTATAAATAGTAATTGAGGAAGTAAAGATAAGTGTTTTGTTTAGAGGAAGTGCATTTTAACTTTCAATTAGAGAGGACAGGGCTTTTTCTAGTAATAGCAATAATTAGTGGTTTCTTTAGAAATCGGGTACGTTCAGGTTAAGTAGCTATCACAGACCATAAAGAAAAGTAAAAATAGTGATGGAATCGAGCACAGGACCCATGTCAACTCAGTTGAACAAGGGCCCAAAGGGGAGGAGAGAAATAGGTGGCTGGTGGGCACTAGACTGAGAACTAGTGGAAACTGATTGCTGCTGGGTAAGGGAGAGTATAACTTACATAAGGTCACTAGATGAACTGATTAGACTCCAGTGGACACATTTACACTGAAGGACATTTGGATACAAATGCCTGAATGAATAGGACTTAACATATATGGTGGAATACATGAGGTTCGTGGGGGTATGGGGGGGTCCTAAATTTGATTAAAAACTGTTGTATGAAATTACAAAAGCTCAATAAAGTATATAAAGACCACTGACTGTTCAAATCACAGCACGCACATGGCAGCTAACAATTATCCATAACTCCAGTTCCAGGGGATCCGACAGCCTGTTCTGTCCTCTGCAGGCACTGCACAACAGGGGTGCACTTACCTACATGCAGGCAATACACGCAAACACATAAAGTAAATATATATATATATTTGGTCTTTTTGAGACAGGGTCTCCCTGTAGCCCCAGCTGTCCTGGAGCTCACTATGTAGACCAGGCTGGCCTTGAACTCACAGAGATCTGCCTGCCTCTTCCTCCCCAGTACTGGGATTAAAGGCGTATACCACGAGTTGTAAGAATTAAATTAGCTAAGGAGACTGAGCTTCGAACAGGTTGCAGTTGGCTCAGCACAGCAGAAGGAGCAAAGTGGAGATTTGAAATGGTGAATAAACATTCCAGAGCCTTTATAATTACTGACCAATAAAACCTTTACTCTAGGACAGTGACTTTGCACATATATACTAAAAATACCCAGTTACTCATCTTCTGTACTTTCATGTTTGTATAAATGGGCCAAAATATTATTTTGTGTCGTGAGCAATGAGATGTTTCAAGGCAAAAACAGGAAGGATTTAATCTAAAATTAATGGAACACATAATATCTTCATGTTGGTTGGTTAGTTTAAACTGTTTGGTCATGCTTTTTAAGTCTTACGTTTCTGTAACATATTTTCTTTTGTAGCATATCAGAGTTATCTTTAGAGTCAACCCTTCATGCCATCAATTTGCATTGTAATAATATCTCCAAGATCACAGCCATTGATCACATTTGGAACTTACAGCATTTAGATCTGTCATCTAATCAAATAAGTCAAATTGAAGGACTAAACACACTGACAAAACTATGTACTTTAAACTTGTCCTGCAATTTGATCACAAAAGTAGAAGGTTTGTAAATGATTTTCATGTGGTACTTTGCATTGAGAAAGTGATTACTGCCTGTTTTTGCCCAAAGAATGGAATTAATAGAATCATTAGTTTTTGAAAATTTACTCTAAAACTCATTATATATAAAGTTTTCTTACCAAAAACTATTTAGTTTTTAAAAAGCTAAGTACACAAAAATACGAATAAAGTTGATTTCACTACTATCATTGTGAAATAATGCTGTGTTTCTTGAATTTTATCCTCTAAAGTCTATATTTATTTTGTCCCACCTTATTTTTAGGACTTGAAGCACTGGTTAATCTGACTAGACTGAATTTGTCTTATAACAACATAAATGATCTTAGTGGTACGTAAATTCGTTTATATTTTCTATAATGCTTGAAGGTTTGCAACTTGTATTGAGTTCCGTGAGTTGGAAAATTCTGAGTAAGTTTTGACTAGAGGTCTCATCCAGACAGTCTACTTCTGTCATTACTCATCTGCCAAAACCACAACAGTAAAAAATTGCAGTAAAGGCAGCTGGGCGTGGTGGTGCACGCCTTTAATCCCAGCACTCGGGAGGCAGAAGCAGGTGGATCTCTGTGAGTTCAAGGCCAGCCTGGTCTACATAGTGAGTTCCAGGACAGCTGGGGCTGCAGGGAGACCCCGTCTCATAAAGACCGAAAAAAAAAAAAAAAAATTGTAGTAAAGGCTAGAGTGATCAATAGCAGGAAACAAACAAACAACAACTTAAGTGAGAAAAACCTACTTTAGGGGGATTATGTTTACTCTTAAATAATTAACTACTGTTATGTGGAGAGGGACAGTTCCAGTAGAACTTGAGACAGTGATGAAAATGTTTTGTATCTGTCCACTTGTATTGCAGCAAGTAGCCAGATGTGACTATTGAATACTTGAACTGTAACTAATGGAATGTGGGAATTGCATTTTTAGTTTAATTTTAATTTTAAAAAACCACCTGTAACTAATGACTACTGTGTTGAGCAGTGTAGATAATGAAAGATTCCAGAGACTTGTATATTAAAGGTTAAATAAATTAGGTTTTCTTCATGTGTCCAGTATGTCTAAGAAGATTTTTAAATTGCTACCTATTTAATTTTCACAAAAACTTTTGAGAATTTCATACATACATATAAGGTGTTTTGATCAAATCCATGCCCACTCCCTCCCCTCCAACATTCCCCTCTCTGAAGGAGTAACCCTAAAATCTTTTAAGGATTAGATACAAGCTCCCAAATACTTTTGACATTTTTGGCCTTGGAACAGAGCATGTTGCTAACAGGCCCAAGGACATTTTGACTTTTAGCCAAGAAACAGGCTACATTTCTTTGGGGTCTTTTTACCCTAACTGCCTAGCCAATTCCCACCTCCTATTTTTATCACACCATTCTCTGAAGCAGTTACCCAAATTGCCAATAGGGAATCCAGACGCTGAAGGCTCTGGCTTCTTCCGTGCTGAACAGGGACGCAGAGTGAGGCAATTGGAGTACTCCTTCAGTGGGTCTATCTAAAAGACTCCCAAATTGCATACCTCTTGTCTATGAGTGGGAGATGTGAAGGAGAAGTAAAGGCAAGAGTAATTAGCATTACAAGTTCTAGACAGGGAACTAGAAAATAGAACAGGGCAATTTTCAAATGTTCATATGAGAGTCCATTGGAGTTTCTTAACAAGAGCTTCCAAAGCATCCTTCTATTGGGTTCTTCTATTTTTCTTTTGTCTTCCAAGGCTGGACTAGTTGGCTGGGAAGAGTAGCTGGATACTCAGGTGAGGGTCCGGTGACCCTGCTTGGCACTCCTTTAATGAATGAGCACAACCGTCAACAAGCCCAATTGTGACTATGTTTAGCGATCAGGCTCAGCTGAAGTCGTGATAGTGGTAGTTATTTCATGCAGAAGGGCTGCTGTATAGCATTATCTTATTAAAAGGGCCACCCCATGGAGGCAGGATCAGGGGGCTGTCAGGCTGTCCCCTGGGTTCTCTGCTACCTATTTTTTTAATTAAAGTGATACAACTGGTGGTTTCACAATTCTTAGAATTACCTATTAGAACAAGCAAATTTTAACTAGTTATCCTTAGTCCTTGTTACTGTTTGAAACAGTATTATTTATTTAATTCCTCCACCCCTACACCTAGACAAATGTCACTCTATAACAGGTGCTATTATACAAAAAAATGAAAAGACCTAGTCCACACGTTTAAACTAAAGTAACAACTATTTTAATTTTTTAAATCTCTTTTCTTCTAAAATTATAAAGCCTTAGAATTCTACTACTTGCCTCACTGCTAAGTGATATTCAGCAAGGCATTTTACTTTTTGAATGCAATTTCCTTATCTGAAAAATACAAATATTGAATAGGTTTGTTCAAGTATACAAGCTACTATATCAAACACTGCCCTATAGTGATGGGGGCAAAAAAGACAATAAATAATGCCCTTGCTTAATGAAGCTTACATTATTGTAAAGAAGAAACATAAAATCATGTCAGATCATTTCCCACCCCCAGTAAAACCAAAGATTTGACAAGAATTGTTACCAAGAAGATATAGAAGAAACAAACATGAAAAACAACGAAGATACTTAGCAGAATTAGTGATTAAGGAAATGGAAATTGAAATCGTAACGGCATAATACTTGACTTCCAAAATAGGTAAAATTTAAAACTGACAGAATGCTGTTGAGATTGAAGTGATAGGGCCATGAAACTATGAGCTGAACTTCCGAATTGAGTCAGAATAAATCTTTCCTCTTTATAAATTGATAATCTCATGTATTTTTGTCACAGCAACACAAAGCTGACTAACAGAACTGGTAAATGGATGAACAAATTGTGAAACAGTCATATAAAATACTACTTAGAATAAAGATGGAATAAACAATGACATATGCAGCAATACAGATTAATCCAATACAAATGATACTGAGCAAAAGCCAGTCACACAGGCTGTAATGTATGTATGCCCATTCTGACAAAGGCAAAGCTCCAGCAGAAATGAGATGATTGCTTGCCAGAAGCTGGAAATTGGGAAAACAGATTGATTGCACAAGAAAGTAAAGGAACTTGGAATGATGAAAGTGTCCTGTAGTTCACTCGTATTTATACAGCTGTATACATTGCTAACACGCACTAAACTCTTTAACTCTAAAAAGGGTAAACTTTACTGACTAAGCATCAGTAATAAAGGTTGAAGAAAATGAAAGGGACCACCTGTAAGTTCTTACAGGTGCTTCTGAGGATGTTAAAATTTTAATTTCAGAAACATGGTAGTAAATAATTTATATGATAATAGTATGCAGAGACACTAAAATAAGTTAAAGTCTGCCATGTTAAGAAAGCTAGTATGTTAGAACATAGCAATCAAGGCCTTAAAGCACTCACAAGAATGAGGGAAAGTAGTAAAAGCTAGGTCAGTACAGACTTGTAAGCGGATAGGGAGATTACATTTAATTCTAGGTGCAATAAGTCATTTGAGGTATTACATGTGGGAGTGACAGAATTTGTTTCTAAAAGATGCTGGCTGTTAGGTAGAGAGTGGATTTTAGGTAGACAGGAGAAGAGAAAGGAAAGCAGAGTCAAAGAGAAGAGCAAGTTTTCTCTGAATTAACAGAGAATAGCAGTTGTTGATTGACATGTGATAGACTGGAAGGGAAGACAAATTAGAGATGAGAAATGAGAGTTCTACCTTAAATTTGAGAACACTGTTGGGCATGTGTATGTGTGCATCTAATCTACAGTTTAGGATGGGGTAGTGGGAAGGTCATGGTTCAAGTTGTATTTTGACAGTCAAACACTGAATGATATTTATAACCTTGAAGTAGGGCATTCTGGAAAAAGTAGAGAAGGGGACCTAGGAACAAGCCTTGGCATATTCTAAAATTGAAGCGTTACAGGACCACAAAGTTGAAGCAAGAGGGAGACCTTGATTGATAGTTATGAAGAACTGCCAACCACTATACAAATGTATGACAGGAAAATCAGATCTCACAGACGTGATCAAAGACTTCTGAGAGTACGACAGAAGGATGAGCAGAAGTCACCCAAACAATGGGCACTGAAGAGAAAAGTATCCTAGTCAGGCTGAAGAAACTGATGAAAGGAGTAAGTTAAATATGAAGAAGGCTAAACTAAGCAAGTTGTAAAACAGCACCCCCTAAGGAACAATATAGAGAGAGTACATCTCAGAGTAGTCCTTCTAAAAGAAAGGAAGCAGTACCTTCCATCCACTAACAAGTAGCCTGTGATAGAGCAGAGCTGCAGAAATGTTAAGGGCTTTCTCATACTTCCACGCTTTACTTTTTCTCAACAGGTCCCCTCCATTTTGAAGAAAGTTCTGAAGCAGGAAAATCTGTTTTCAGGCCTTGCAAGATAACTGTCCACAGCAGCTGCTGTGGCAGTCCGGGCTGGGCCAGGTACTACTGGCACCCCCTACCAAATGCTATAGGTATACACAGCTCATACAAGAAACATCAGGGAACTAAACTGTATTCTATACCCAGACCAATTAACTTGCAGTGTCGTGTGGTGTTTACTTAAATCTAATAAAAAGTAATATATTGAGAGGGCCTGGCTTTATGCTTATTCCCACTCACATCAGTACATTGACCTAGGGAGCTCATTCTGTTTTGTTTTTGTTTTGTCTAGTAACTAGACAAGAGACCAGGTACCTCAGGGACTGAGATGCTAAACCTTTGTTTCTTTATAACAAGTCCCTTTACTGATGACTTGATCAGAGGTATATCTGTTCACAGCAAAGTACTAATGCTACTTCTTTGCCTTAAAAGAATCTTTTTCCTGTTTAGGGTTGATGCCCCTTCATGGGCTGAAGTACAAGCTTAGATATATCGACCTACATAGTAATTGTATAGATAGTATCCATCACTTACTTCGGTGTACAGTGGGATTGCACTTCTTGACCAATCTTATTTTGGAGAAGGATGGAGAAGGTAATCCTGTCTGTCATGCACCAGGTATGAAACAGTCAATTGAATACTTGCCTAGCACTTACATGTGAAATTGCCTTCTTTTCCTGAAATTGATGCTTATGACCTCCTTTCATTGTAGTCTTAAGCTTTGCAAAGTTTCATGAATTTAGAAAAACATGATCATAAACAGTTGGTTAAGAAAAAGTAAATTACTTACCTATTAAAGGAAATAGACAGGATAAACAGATCAGCTAGCTAGCTTTCTTCTTTGTTTTTTCTGAAATGGTGCTTCTCAGGTAGTACTCACTGACCTCAACCACAGTGTGTAGTAGAGGATGGCCTCCACCTCCTGAGTGCTAGGATTACAGGGATACCCCACCATGCTCAGTTTCTGTGGTGCTGAGAACTGAACCCAGGGCCTCATGCATACTAGGCAAGCACTGTAGCTAATAAGGTACATCACCAGCAGAGTGAACAGAGCATTAGTTTTGTTTGGACAGTTTATGTATTTGGCAAGTGAATGCCTCAAGGTTACATTTTGATTATGATGATGTATCTAACATTGTGATACTGTGTAGCCATAAAAAAGAATGTAGACTTTCTTTGCTACTGGTCAGTTATTTCCAAAGAGAAAGAAAAGCAAGTATTGCTTATAGTAGGCTACAATTTGTGTTAAAAAAAAAAAAGAGTAAAACAGCCCCTGTATATTACATATAGATATATAACAAATATATATGTGTGCATACTCCAGATAACAGAACTTAATAGCTGGAGACCAGGATATTGGGCAAAATTTCTACTCTCTGTGCCATTTGAATTTCATTCCATGTGAATTTATTATACCATTAATAATTGAATGATCTTTTGACTTACATGTATGTGATAATGCTAAAATGCCATTTGATCTGATTCAGTAAGTTGTGTTTGTTACAAGTTTACTATTGCTTTTGAGGACCAATTTTATCATTCAGATGATGTAGCTTAGTTTATTTTAGAAATAACTCCTTTCTCATTTTTAAAAACTACCAGGGCTGGAGAGATGGCTCAGCAGTTAAGAACACTGGTTGTTCTTGCAGAAGACCATGGTTCAAATCCCAGCACCCACATGGCAACTAACAACTGTCCATAACTCCAGTCCCAGGGGATCCGACAGCCTCTTCTGACCTCTGTGGGCATTGCACAACATGGGTGCACTTACCTACACGCAGGCAATACATGCATACACATAAAATTTTTTAAAAATAAATAAAATATTTTTAAAAGTTTTTTAAAAAAAACTACTTAAGCTTTCATTTTGAATGATTTATTTCCAAGGGTACAGAACAATTATTCTCCAGACTTTACCACAGTTGAGAATCTTAGATTGCAAGAACATCTTTGGTGAACCAGTAAATTTGGCAGAAATGAATTCATCATGCCTACAATGCTTAGAAGGTCTTTTGGATAACTTAGTTTCTTCTGATTCCCCCCTGAATATAAGTGAGGATGAGGTATAGTATTGGTTATTTTTTCTAATACAAAAGATCATATTTTAATTAATAAACAAATGTGAATTTTAAAGGACTTTGTTTCTATGTCATAGGTCGTTGATAATATCCCTGTGGAAACACCACCCATGGATGTGTTGCCTCCTTTGGAGCAGTTTACAACTACACAAGAAGATAATGTTTTTACCTCATTTTTATCTGTATGTCCATCTTCTGAACCAAAGAAAATTAATCATGAAAACGATTTACAGAATAAGATGAAACTTCAGAAATTAGATGTTCAAATCTTACAGCTTCTCAATGAAGTAACTTATTTCTGTGTTTCTGAAGGCCAATATATGTTTACTGAAGAAAAAATAAAGTATAAACTAAAAATTATATATAAATTGAACAACCAGAAATAATATGTTGAATGCATCAGTGTATATGCTTTTGTTTCTCTTGACAGAAATAGAATTATATGTAATAACAGTGGGAGAAAATTATGAAACATTTTTCATTCATTATTTTTTGTTGCCCTCATTCACACATATTGATATTTTTATTGTAAGTAATATGTGTTTTGCTTATATTTTTTTGCTTATGTGTTCATCAGTTCCCAAACTGGTTTCCCTTTGACAACTGTGAATAATATTACTAAGAACATTATATGTGGATCTCTTGATTAGGTAGATGTTCTGACTCCTCTTGGCTGTACCTGCCTGTGCGGTTGCTTGTTCCTTTCTTTTTGCAAAAAGAGCAGCAGCAAACATGGCTGTGCAAGTAGCTCTGTAGTAGGATGAGTCTGTTGTATATATGCCAAGGACTGGTATGTCCGGATCATATACTGAATTTATTTTTAGGTTTTTGTTTTTTTTTAAGAGCTCTCTGTACTGATTTCCACAGTGGTTGCACCAGTTTTCTATTCCACCAAAAGTGGGTAAGATCTTTCCTGCATCCACACCAGCATTTGATGTCATTTGTTCTCTTAATATTAGCCATTTTGACTGGGGTTAGATGAAATCTTAAAGTAGTTTTCATTCACATTTTTCCTAGTTACTAAGGATGTTGAACACTTTTTAAGGTATTTCTTAGTCATTGTTATTTCTTTTAAGAGCTCTGCTCAGATCCATAGCCCATATTTTAATTGTCATATTTTTTTTGCTGCTTTGTCTTTTTGAGTTCTTTGTATATTCTGGATAGTAATCTTCTGTCAGATGAATAGTTGAAGATTTACTCCCACTCTGTAGGCTTCCTCTTCGACTTGATTGTTTTCTTTGCTGTACAGAAGCTTCTTAGTTTAATGAGGTCCCATTTGTTGATTGTTGACCTAATTCCTGCTGACTGATGTCTGATTTAGAAAGTCCTTTCCTACATCTTATAGGGTACTGCCTATGTATTTTTCTGATATTTTCAGCATTTCAGGCTTCACATTGAGGTCGTTGATCCGTTTGGAGTTCACTTTTGTGTGGGGTGATAGGTATGGGTCTAATTTTATTATTTTACATAAGGAAATCCAGTTTTGCCAGCACCATTTGTTGAAGGTGCTGTCTTTTCCTCCAGTGTGTGTTTTTGGCACCTTTGTCAAGTATCAGGTGGCTGCAGTTACATGCGCTCGTGTTTGAGTCTTCTGTTTTGTTCCATTGATCTACAAATATGTTTTTGTGCCAGTACCATGTCTGTACTCTGTATTACAGATTGAGGTCTGGTATGGTAATGCACAGCCACCACCGCCACTCACCCCAACCCCCGAACCCCCTCATTACTCTTTGTGCGAGGATTGCTTTGGCTATCCAGGAGTTTTGTGTTTCCATATGCATTTTAGAATGGGTTTTTCTATTTCTGTGAAGAATGTTACAGGGATTTTGAATGGAGTTGCATTGAACCTGTTATTACTTTTGGGAGCATGGTCATTTTCACTCTATTGATTCCATGAACATGAGAGGTCTTTCCATCTCCTCACATTTCTCTCAGTCTCTTTCTTCAAAGATTCAAAGTTTTCATTGAAGTCTGATTAGGTTTATCCCAAGATATTTTTTTTTCCCCCGAGACTATTGTGAATGGAAGTGTTCCTTGACCTTTCTCTGATTGTTTCATTTTATTTTTCCAGAATTTATCATGATTGTCTGTAGGAGAGTTGAGCTGGTAAAACGCTTTTATTTAATCCCAGAGCTGCAGTCCTTGTCTTTAGTTTCAGACGTATGGAACTTAAAAGTTTTTAATTTGGAGACTGGAGAGATAGATAGCTCAATGGTTAAGAGCAGTGGCTGCTCTTGAAGACAACCTGGGTTCAATTCTCAGCACCCACATGGTGGCTAATAACCATCTGTAACTCCAGTTCCAGGGCATCTGACACAGTCTTCTGACTTCTGTGGGCATTGCGTGAGACGGATGCATTTACACTGTGCATGCAGGCAATATACTCATACACATAAATAAAAACATTTTTTAAGAAAATCTTTAATCTTATAAAAGAATATTTAGAATCTTTTAATTTTAATCATTTATATTGAATATAACTTTTAACATGTGCTTTTTTTTATTCTAGACTTCTAATTCTTTAATAGATAATGTTCCTGAGAAAAACCTAAGACCAAAAAGAGACACAGATATAAATTCTGAAAACGACTATAGCAACAGAAAAGGGTGCAATAGAAAAATTCCTAGAAGATCAAAAATTCCATTATATGCCAAAAGTATTCAAACTATTAAGCACAATAATAAGAACAACAGCAGTTCTGTAAGGTACTTTCTTTATTTTTAGTATTCTAAATAAGGTACAGACAGGAGTTACCATAACTGGCTTCATCCTTAATATTGTCTCACAGTGAATCTGTCACTTTATGGACATCAGAGATTTTTTTTTCTTTTCATCCTATGAGCTCAGATTTGCTCAATTATCAGCCCTTCATATCCTACAAGCTCTGCATCCATAGATTCAACCAACCACTGATCAAAAATATTAAAATCCAAATAAAAGACTACATCATTACTGACATGAACCATTAGCTAGGTTTAAAATGGTTGCTCCTGACTGAACATTCACAGACTGTTTTTCCTGATCATTATTTCCTAACTAATACAATGTCATTTATATTAGAATTTATACCATTTGTATTATATTGAACATTATAAGTAGTCTCGACAATCTAAAGTATTCTCAGATATGCATATGTTACATAGAAATGCTATGCCATTTTACATAATGGGCTTCAGCATCTGTAGATTTTGGTATCTGGGGGTAGCTCTGGAACAAATCCCTGCAGAAACATAGAGAAAATTATACTCACATAGAAGATTGCTTTCTGTTTGTTGCTACCAAAGTCGAAAATTTACTGTATAAAAACAAAATGGTACTGCATTATTTACAGTGAGAAGTGAGGCTGATTTACTTGAGTCTACGTGACTGGTTTCTTTCCTGATGTAGGCAGATCTGGATAGGAAGCCAAGAAGTAAATGGTATCAACTAACCTAGGAACAGAGGCACATATATGACTCTGTTATTACATAAGGATATGGAAACCTGGTGTCTGTATTTTCACAATTGGGGTGTCAGCCCATGATAGTAATTCAGAAAAGACTTCTCTGGAGTAGATATAATCCACTTTTTTCCTGCCTTAAAAATACATTCTCTTTTTTTTTCCTTCTCAGTTCTTGCAACATGAGCCAGTTGTACTTTTACCTATAGCAATCATTCCATCCTTTCATAGCCGATATATACCCTAGAATTTTTTTGTACTCTGACTCCTGATATATTTATTGTGTCAATTTTAAAATTTTAAGTTCCATAGGGCAATTATATTTATAGTTTTTCAAATTTTTGATTATCAAAGTCTACTCTGATCTGAGTATGTTGAGTACTAAACATACATAAAATCATTATATTTTTAAAACTCAAGGCCCTTATAAGTTAATCACCAAAGCACACTCATTATAAAATTCATGAAGCAGGGCCAGGTTTAGTGGTTCAAGCCTTTAATCAGGAGACAGTGGCAGACTGATCTCTGTGAAATTGGGGTCAGCCTGGTCTACATAGCAAGTTCCAGATCAGCAGGGGCTATAGAGTGACCTTGTCTCAAAAAAGCTAAACAATAAAAGCATGAAGGAATTTGTCCAGGTTGCTATAACTTTAATATATTTATTTAAATTATTTAAATTATATTTGCATGTGTGGATACAAGTGTTTGTATTGGAGAACACTATAAGCAGTGTATTTCTCTTTGGATTTTCTGCATTTTATTTTTTGCAGTTGTAATCGTAAAATGAGACAACCTTACTTTAAAAATTTATACGTGAGATCATCTTTAGCCAACTGTAATGTATTACAAGATCTACAAGAACAGAAGACTGACATAATTAAAGTAGACAAAAGTGGCTCCGAAGACAACACTTACCGGGTATGATTTAGGGAATTAAGAAAAAATAAATGTTGTTAGTTTTAAGTGCAAAATCCCAGAAAATTATTCACCTTTTATGAATAAACAAAATATTGTTTGTAGTTTTATTAGAATGATGAGGACTGGCTATTTTACCCTTCTTGATTTGTAGACTTTGTGTAACATTTGCTTTTATAATTTCTAAAAGAATAGAAATTACATATTTAACCAAATTAAGTGAAATCATATTTATACTTGTGGAGAGAGAAACCATTTGAAATTTTCTACTTCTTAAAGTAACAGTTCCTAATTTGTGGTGGCGGGGGGAGGGTTATAGCCTTAAATCTGTAGCCTTAAAACAATCTACATTTTTTTTTCAAAAAATATACTTTCATACACTCTAAAAAATATTCTATAGAATTGTTCCTTGACCTACCCAGACCACAGTTTTGGACACAGATTCAGAGATTCTCAAATTCTTTTAAATATTCAGGATTTGCTGTAACAGTTGTTGTTTTGAAGCTCTGTAGGATGTATTGATTTGTTAAATTGCCCTCGTTTTACATGTTGGAGTACTGGTTATTCTATTCTGCGCTGTAAAAAATATAATCTAATGATAGTGTTACCTTCTACAATTATCATGACAATAGCAGCTAACATTTGTTTGATATGGCTATTTGTCAAGCACTATCGTGTACTACTGAGTTTAGCTTCTATTAATTTAATTCTCACTGTAGCTCTTTTAAATAGATACTGTTACTCCCATAAATAAATAAGTGAAAAAATTGAGGTAGTGAGAAGTTAGGTGACCTTTCCAAGTTCATATAGTACCCATATTTTCTTCTAGTCTCTAGTGGAACAGTTAGACCAAGAGAGAGAAATGAGATGGAAAGCTGAGCAAGCTGAAAAGAAACTCATGGATTACATCGATGAGCTGCATAAGCAAGCAAGCGAGAAGAAAGATGTCCATAGCCTAGCTCTAATTACCACAGATAGGTAAGGCAAAAATATCACCTAAAGATGTCTCCAAGCCTAAAGATCCTGGGCTTGGAACTGAAATACCTAGTTTAAAATAGCCATAGTTTGATAAAAATGAAAAAAGAATGTTTATGGTTTTCATTTGAGTTGAAGGTTTAATGCTTTCTTGCTACATAAATGGAGAATCCTGGGTACACTGATTTGAGCCCTTGAGATGGTAGGTGTAAGGTGGATGAATATGCTAAGTAAAGAACCACAGAAGATTAGTGTGAGGGTTGATGAGCTTTTTCTGTAGAGCCCCATATTTAGTGAAAGGATGGCATTGGCAAATCTCTTCTTAAAGGGTTATAAATCCTATTGCATCTCTTGCCACACATTCATATTTCCTGTAAATGGTTTTGGTACCACATAGCCCAAGTGTCTTAATTCTTATTTTCTCATCTTCATTCCATCTCCCAGTTTATCTGCTTTTTTTGTAATACTTTTTTTTTTTAATGTGTATGTGTGTATTGCCTGCATGTAGGTAAGTGCACCCGTGTCATGCAATGCCCAAGGAGGTCAGAAGAGGCTGTCGGATCCCCTGGGACTGGAATTACAGACAGTTGTTAGCTGCCGTGTGGGTGCTGAGATTTGAATCCGGGTCTTCTGCAAGAACAACCAGTGTTCTAACCTCTGAGCCATCTCTCCAGCCTCATAATACGTTCTTTAATATAAGTCATTCTTGTATTTTGTGAAAATTCATTATAGTAACTTTTTCCCTTTGTTTTTTGTAATTTTAAAGTTATCCCTTTGTTCAAATAGTCATCACATTTCTCCACAGGGTTCCTGTTTGGTTTTGTCTTCTTGTCCTTAAAGAAATAGTAGCTTTCTAGACTTGGTATTTGCCACAAACAGAGTTTTGGAGTTGCTACTAGTTCCATTTTATGTCTGCACAGTAGATAATTCTTATAAGATCTGATCTGAATAGTAAATTCAGACACACAGTTTCCAACCTGATCCCTAGTTTATTTTAGACATTTGGCTGGTAAGGTTGTGTAAACTAATAACAGTTTTTATTCTCATACTGTTTTACTTCTTTTATCTGTTGTACCTGTGTCATGTGAGGAAAGAAGCCCTGGTCTCTCAACACGTTACTCTGAGAACTCTGCAACTGCATGTTGTAGTGTGTTCTGCTTTGGGGAGTCTTTTTACCACCGCCCTACATTATTTGTGTTTGGGGCTCACTGTCTGAATTGATAGAAGAAAATCCATGCTAGGAGGGGAGAGGAAAAGTAATGGTGCTCAGACTTGCTCAGAAAAACTTGCCTACATCAGATACATAGACAACCAAGACTGGAAAATTGGGGATTCCTCCTCAGAATGAAGCAAAGCTTGTTTTAAGGGTCGTTTTTAATTTCAGTTTAGTTCTGTTTGCCTTATAATTGAAATTCCTTAAATTTTAACCTTCTTTGGTGGGGGGGGGGGTTTGTTGTTATTTTTTGTTTTATTTTTTGAGACAGGGTCTCCCTGTAACCCCAGCTATCCTGAAACTGGCCCCAATCTCAGAGGTCCGCCTGCCTCTGCCTCATGAATACTAGGATTAAAGGTGTGCACTGCCACACCTGGCTAAATTTTGGCATTCTTAATCTTTTGTTTTTAGCTATTTGTAAATCATTTCTGCTTTATTTCATACTGTGCATCTTATTAGAAATTATCTCAAATGACTCACTAGATTTCACTGAATTTAGAAAGTCTCGGGCATACTTCCTCTTTAGCCTTCTGTAGTATGTCTGTTGTGCTTCTTTCTCATGGTACATAGTCATTGTTTTCTTGTAAAGTCAATTTCAGTCTTCACTCTGCTTTATCTACACCCATATTTGTTTGCTGTCTTGAGATTAGAGCCTCACCACTCTTGATATTCTTGTGTATCACTGCCCTTAATACCAGGTCTGACAACTACTTGCCACCCTCTGAATATATGTTATATCAAAATTGAGATGTATGGCCAGGCATGGTGGCACACGCCTTTAATCCCAGCACTTGGGAGGCAGAGGCAGGTGGATCTCTGTGAGTTCAAGGCCAGCCTGGTCTACATAGTGAGTTCCAGGACAGCTGGGGCTACAGGGAGATGCTGTCTCAAAAAAAGACCAAAAAAAAAAAAATTGAGATGTACTAGTATAGTATCTTTATTGTTCCAACCTCTTTGGTCAATAGAATTGTTAAACTAATCCCATACCAAAAATGCCTTACCTGTATTTCTCATGGTACATTAAGGTTAGCCCAGCCTTAAGAAGAATCATCCTGCTGGGTGTGGTGGTGCATGCTTTTAGTCCCAGCACTTGGGAGGTGGACAGGCAGATCTTTGTGAGTTCGAGGCCAACCTGGTCTACATAGCAAGTTCCAGGTCAGCTGTGGCTACAGGGAGACCCTGTAATAAGAAAAAAGAAGAAGCATCCTGTTTTCTTATTATGTATTCTTTGCCTTACTAAATGGTATACCATTAGCATCAAGCTACCAAAGCCAGAAATAATGGTTCTTCTGCCTCCTTTTTCTTATATCTCAGAGCCAGTTGGTATTGATATCTTGATTCTTTTTCTCAAAATATGTGGAACTGTCTCTTCTGTATCCTCAAACTGTAGCCTTCGTTTTGGCCTTTCTGCTTGATGATTACTTAACTTCTACTTTCTATAGCTTGTTTGCCCTCACCTAACATTCTCTTATATAATGTGTCAAACTGGAATTGAGAGAGTGAAAAAGGAAGACTAGCTTGAAGATTATTCTCATTAAAAGCAAAAAGGGAGATGGGAAGAACAAGAATTGAAGAAATACCCATAAAGAATCTGATTTTTTTAATATAATCTAGAAATTAAGTAGGTAAACATCATGCCGGCTACCTAACTCAGTATTTCATTCATAAGACTGACTTTTCCAAATACTAACTAGACTTGGAGATTTGTCAACCATTTTGCTGCCTGTGATATTTGGTTAAAGTATGAGCTGCTGACCCAAGCTAATTAAACATAATGTATTAGCCTGTGATCACAGTTACTGGTTCTTGGGAGTGCACATATGAATTAAAGTAAGCCAATCTGAGCCTTTCCTATGACTCTTCAAAGCTGAGTTTTTAAAAAATGAAAATCTTCCCTGTTGTGGCTTAAAATATGAACCCAAGACCAGCAAGATGGCTTTGTAGGTAAAAGCATTTGCCATGCAAGCCTGACAACCTAAATTCAAACCCCAGAACCCACAGTGGAAAGAGAGAACTGACTTCTAGTGCACACACACACACACAAACGCATGCATGTACACACACCAACACAAATGATAAAATTTAGAAAGATTATGAACTTATATGCATATGGTCTTCTGGCCTTAACGTCTTGTCACACTACTCCAAATACAAAGACACAATAGGAAAAACTGAAGCCTAGGGACTTGGGTATAGAGTCCTGATGATAGTCCTGGTTTTGATTTCAGTGGTGCCTCAGAACAGTGCCACCCAGTCTTTTTCTAAGTTTGGTTATATAAGTCAGTAAACTAAGTTTGGTTATATAAGTCAGTAAAGTGTCCCTTTTTAAATTAAAACCTTCTTAAGTTAAAGGTTTTCAGCTGTGATCAAAAGATTCTAACCCATACAAAGCTGGGATCAGTACTTTGGGGAAGATACAGGGAAGTCACAGTTAAGACTGGATACTTATTTAGCACTTACATCATGTAGCTTTAGAAATATACCCAAGTTGGTTCTCTCTACTAGTTCCTCAGTTCTTGATAGCGTAGTCTGTATCTTACTCATCTTGCTTTCTAGAAAGTCCACATCTAGGGACTGGAGAGATGGCTCAGCGGTAAGGACACTTCAGTTCTTCCACAGGACCCAGGTTCTATTCCCAGCACCCACATGGTGGCTAACAGCCATCTATAACTCCAGTTCAAGGGAATCCAGTGCCCTCTTCTGGGCTCCACAGGCATTGCACAAAATGGGTGCACTTACATACATGCAGGCAAAACATTCATACACAAAATAAAAATAAAGTTCACATCTAGCCCAAAGCTTGAAACAGCATGTGTTATAGAATACTAAAGTTTATATAATAAAAGTTTAATTAATTTATGATGTTTTTCCTTTGGTAACAATATGAGTTTTAGGGGTGGAAGAAATGCATATGTTGCTTTTTAAGCATTTTTTTTAGTGTAATTAGAGTTTGATGCGTACTTCAAATCTTGATCTCTATTGTAAGCTTTGAAGTTGATTACATTTTTTTAAATTTTTATATGTGTGATGTCTTACCACCACATGTGTATTTGTGCTTTAGACTAAGGGATGTTATTTTTAAAGAGAGAAGTTCTAAGGCGCAACTTGAAGTTATCGTTCACAGACTTCAAAATGAAGTTAAAAAACTAACTTTTGAATTAGTGAAAGCAAAAGATGAACAGGAAGTTCACATCAGACACTTGAGGACCCTGGAAAAGGCATTAGAAAAAATGGAGAAGCAAAAAGCACAGCAGCAGCAGGCACAGGTACGTCCTTGCTTAAATGTATCCATAGTGAGGAATGAGGATTACCACTTTTGTAGCTCTGTCCTTAAACATACCGTCGTAACCTTAAAACATGTTAGGATACATAAAAAAATTATTGTTGGGGTCGGGGAGGGTTGTTCTGTTGGCTTTTGGTCTTTTTCAGACAGGGACTCCCTGTAGCCCTGGCCTGGAGCTCACTTTGTAGACCAGGCTGGCCTCAGTCTCTCAGAGATCTACCTGTCTCTCCCTCCTGAGTGTTGGTATTAAAGGTGTACATCAACATGCCCAGCTAAATTGTTGTTTTAAATATAACAGTCATGTAGCCCATGGAATAATGTCTAAATTAAGGCTACCAGCACTTACACAAAGCAATTGCAAGAGTTGGTGAGATATTGCAGCTAGTTTTGTTCATATTTGAGAGAGAGAGCTTTTTAAGTCCTTAGGGTACTTGAAGAATTTTCACTTTCATGCTTTTGGAATGGAACCTCTGTCTAAATATGTGATACAAATAAATAGTAATTGATGCCAGTATGTTTGATACTTCCAAAACTACTTTGTGATGGTAGCTTTATTAATTCAGTAAGTTTTGAAGTCATCTTAGTTGTTAGGTCTTCTCATTTATATAGCACGTAAAGGAACTGGCATTAACAAAGAAACAAGGGCAGTCACTGGGATTTCCATGAACCTCTGTTAGGTCTGCCCATCTTTCTGAATAAGGTTTCAGAAAGGCATAACTTCTTTTTCTTTCCTATTTCAGGTACTGGCCTAATCCTGGACATGCTCTCCCTAATTCTTTGGGCTTCCTCACTTTCTTGAAGCCCCGCAACCACACATACACACACATACCATGCAGCTGCTTGTCTACCAGGTGGCTTGCTGCTTGCCGAACATCCATGCCTAACTCAAAAAGGCATGACTTCTTTCTTCCTCTTTGTCTTCCTCCTCCAGGCAACTGTCATGATCTACAGCTTATCTACCCTACAATTTTTCTTTTAAACTCTACTAAAATTATCCTCATTTTAAAATCAGTAAATAAGTAAATAAAATAGAAGCAGGGGAGCATAATTATTATGTGAATACTGTAATCATTGTACTTTACTCAGATGAGATTTATCCAAGAGGTGGAACTCAAAGCTTCAGCTGCTGATAGAGAAATAAACTTACTTCGGACTTCTCTTCACCAAGAAAAGGAACAAGTGGAACAACTTCATGAACTTCTGGCATTGAAAGAACAGGAGCACAGGTAAATGAAAACTATTGGTTGTTTTTATATCTCTCTCCTGGACCTTTTGCCTGAAATCTAATTCCAAGACAATACTGACATTTAAAACTCTAAAAAGAAAGATTCTGGTTTTCCTCCTCAGTGATTAACCATTGAAATCTGACCAAATAATGCATGGAGAGCCAGCAAAATGGCTTAGCAGATAAAGGTACCAGATTACAAATTTGACAAGATCAGTTCCTGGGTCCCACATGGTAAAAGGCAAGAAGCTGCAGGTTCTCCTCTGCCTTTCACACATGCACCCCATAATAAATAATTTAATAAATAAATAAATGTAATGAAAATAAATGAAAGTAATATAAATAAATATAATGAAAATAAATGAATGGAATTAACTCCTGGAAAATACTGTGTTTTATGTCTACATTTGAATTAGTCTTACAGAAAGAACTAGCAACTTAAAAAAGTAGGTAACTTTATTGTCAGCATGTGAGGAAAAGGCATATAACAATGTAGCTTATTTTAACATTTCTTCAAACAAAAATTAATCATTGTATAGAGAGGAAGTTAATTGACCTACAAATAACTATAAAATTAATCAGCATTATTTATTCCTCTAAAGCAACAGTCTAGGAACTTTTTCAGTACCTAACTGCATGATTTCTGTTTTAAAGTGAGAAAGCAATCTTACATTAATGTAACATAAAATGTTAAGAGATATTTAAGGACCTTTACATTTTTAATTTTTTTTAAAAAGAAGCTGGGCGTGGTGGCTCACGTCTTTAATCCCAGCACTCGGGAGGCAGGGGCAGGCAGATCTCTGTGAGTTCAAGGCAAGCCTGGTCTACATAGTGAGTTCCAGGACAGCTGGGGCTACAAGGAGACCCTGTCTCAAAAAGACTAAATAAATAAATAATAAGTGAATGAATGAATAAATAAATAGTAAATTATTCAGCAACAATGATGTACTTTAGAATTAGAACATGTAGTGAAAAAGGCAAATTTCTCAGTGTTTTCCAATTCTTGGCATGTTATTCTTGTAGATTCAGGGAGAGTAAATCAGTATTCCCAGGAATTCTCAGAAATTTAAAAATTATGATTATTTTAAACATGCTTCTACAAACGTTCAGTCTTATTATTTGAATAGTTAAAATTCTTGTTTAAAGAACAAAATATACTAAGTTTTAAAGTACTTACAAGGAACTACCAAAAATTTTTATATTTAAGTGAATAGCATGCTTTGCTTTTCATTCCAGGAAAGAAATGGAAACTCGGGAATTTTTTAGCGCTGCTGAGTTCCAGGATGCGTTAGCCAAGGAAGTAGCCAAAGAAGAAAGAAAACATGAGCAAAAATTGAAAGAATACCAAGACAAAGTTGATATATTAAACCAGCAGTATTTGGATTTAGAAAATGAATTCCGCATTGCTTTGACTGTTGAAGCCAGAAGATTAAAAGATGTAAGACTTGGCATCTAGCTCTATTCATAAGAGGACTGCATTTCTAAATCCTAGCTGTATTTATGTGATACAAATTGAGGGCATTCTTAGAACTTTCATTTGCTCATATAAATAATCACTACTTTTAATAGTAACTAATTAAGGTAATAAGTGGTGAAATAAAGTGACAATCAGAATATGAATTGGGAAACCTGAACTTTCCTACTGCTCTGTAGCAGGGCCGACAAAGCTAACACCTACTCTACTCTACCCTCCACCAGCCCAAATGTGGCCTACTGCCTTTTTTTTGACAAACTTTTATTGAAAAGGACTCATGCTTATTTGTTTATATATTATTCATATTATCCATGGCTGCTTTTGCATTGCAAAAAAGAGTTGAGCATTTGCAGTAGATACTATATGGCCTGTGTGGCAAAACCTAACAATTTAGTATCTGACTTTTTACAGAAAAGCTTTGACAGCCCCTGCTATGGAGGAACAGTCTTGCTCCTAAGGCCACATGTACATTCCTCTTGCTTATTAAAGGACATGGATTAGGCTTCTCTCTCAGTTTTAATTCAAATTATTCCTACTTTATTGGTCCATTCTCTTCTGCATGCATGATTGCTATAATTTCTTGCATCTCAAAAAGAACTCTTGTTTGCATTTGACTGCTATCTAGTATCTCTTTTCATTTGCATAATTTGCTGTCCTGATCTCAGTATTTCTCTTCTCTTTCACTCTGATGTTTTTATTTTTCTTGCTTTACTAGCATTACTATAGTTACAGCCACTAGCTCACTACTAAAAATCATCAATTTATTACCGATTTGGCCTAAAAGTAGCATTTGATACATTCTTCCTCCCCTCCACACTCTTTATTTTCTTGGCTATCAGCATAGCATATCTGTTGACTTTCCATTGTTTCTCTTGTATTCAGCCTCTTCTGTTGGTTTCTCTTTCTTGAAAATTTCATTACTCAAATGCCCAGGTTTCGCTTCTTATGTCCTTTTTCTTTTCTAAATACACAGTCTCTTTTTAAAAAAATATTTGTTATTTTATGTGTATGAATGTATTGCGTGTGTGTAAGTGCACCGTGTCATGCAATGTCTGCGGAGGTCAGAAGAAGGCAATGGATCCCCTAGAACTGGAGTTACAGGTGGTTGTTAGCTGCCATATGGGTGCTAGAAATTGAACCTGGGTCCTCTGCAAGGACAGTCAGTGCTCCTAACCACTGAGCCATCTCTCCAATCTGATACACAGTCTCTTGGTAAACTATTCTAGCATTGTTTTAAATATTCATCCTGGCCCTTTTGCCTGAAATACAAATTTACATATATAACCATCTCTTTATTATCTCTATTGAACAAAAATTCCCCCAGACCTACTTCAGCAGTCCTCAGATTTCCATTAGTGACACCTCCAGTCTTCTAAAGTGCTTAAATATGTAAGGGGTCATTTCTTACCACCTTTCTGTTAAAATATAAGTTAGATCCTATGATACCACTTCTCATATACCTCTTTTATCCCTCCATTTTATTCATACTAATGATCAGATCCTCTGCATTGTAGCTCATTTCATATCCTGTCACCCTCACCTTGATCTGTGCCTCCAGGCTGTTCTCCAGCATGCCAGGCACCTTCCTACCTAGAGTTCCTTCTGCACATAACTTGCATCTTTTTCTTACCTCCTGCTAGTCATTCAGTGTTGGCCTCTCAATAATTATGCCATTTAAAATCAAACCTTCCTCTTGACATGCTTCTTAGCTTTTATTCACCAAACGCATGTTATCCTCTACATAGTTTCATGATACATAGTTTTATTTATTTGTCTTTTTGTGACAGAGTCTCCTGTAATTGCTATATGGTTAGTCCCTACTGACTAGAAGGCAGAGATGAGTCTGTTTCGACCATTGGTATAGTGGTGATGCCAAAGAGTGGTTGATATACAGCAGCTGCTCAGTGAACATGCTACAGACAAAGGAATTCTGGTTTTTACATTCACTAATTCCCTGGGCAACTAAAGAAATGATTAACAAACTCCCTGGGTCTGTGTTTCATCTTCTAGAAATTAGTACATTGAAACAAACTACCTCTGAATCCTATTCTTTCACTAAAACTCAAATGAAAGTTTTAAAATGAAAAATGTAAACTTTCTAGAAGCAAATATTTTCTGAGTATTTGGAAATTGCTGTTTTTGAAAATAGGTTCAAGATGCTTTTGAGAATGTTGCAAGTGAGTTAGCAAAGAGCAAGCACGCTCTTATTTGCGCTCAGAGAAAAGAAAATGAATCTTCATGTTTAATTAAAGATCTGACCTGTATGGTAAAGGAACAAAAAACAAAACTCTCAGAAGTTTCCAAATTGAAACAGGAGGCAGCAGCAAATTTACAGGTAAGACTGCAACATTTTATTTGAGTTTTCACATTGTTTTCTCTCAAGGGTCTTAATGGTGATTTTTAGGAAGTACTCAAAATTAACTCATAGATGAATATATATTGTGATGTTTATGGGAAAATATATAACTAATAAAATTAATGAATCCACAGATAATACTGCTTTCAATAAACTACATAAGTAAAACAGGTAAATTTATTTTTATAAATGGGTTAAATAGGTACCAATTTTATAATGATATAACAAAAATTGGAAAAGTGGTACTCAAAAGATGTTAGGATTTGAGAAACTCCACTTGGATTTCTGGTATGTATTTGGGATGGTTGTAGCAATTGTGGTTTTAGATATACTTAACTACAATAACTTTTAAATTAATGCCTTTATTGCTATTGCCCCTTAGACGTTTGTACTATTTTACTTAAGAATTCAGTTTCTGTCGGGAGGCAGAGGCAGGTGGATCTCTGTGAGTTCAAGGCCAGCCTGGTCTACATAGTGAGTTCCAGGATAGCTGGGGCTACAGGGAGACCCTGTCTCAAAAAGACCAAAAAAAAAAAAAATTCAGTTTCTGGATAGTAGTTTTAGACTGTTGATAGAAGTATTTCATGAGAAAGTTTGACAATTACATGTTCAGTTTTTCTTTCACAATTATAGAATAAAATTTAGTCTTTAAAGGAGTGGTCGGTCTCTTAAAAATTGACTTCTTATTTTATACTGTACATCTTAATAAAGTTAAAACTTCTGATACAAAATTTAGTGATGTTTACTTTTTATTTTCTTGAAGAATATTTTTCTTCATAAGATACAAAATTATAATGTATGCAATATTATAATGTATATAACTATAATGTTTATAATTAAATTCAATAATTATGGGGTTTTGGGGGGTATACAGAATCAAATCAACACTCTTGAAATTTTGATTGAAGATGACAAGCAGAAGAGCATTCAAGTAGAAATTCTCAAGCATGAAAAAACTCAGCTCATTTCTGAGCTAGCAGCCAAGGAATCGCTGATTTATGGTTTAAGAACAGAAAGAAAAGTATGGGGACAGGAACTGGCACAACAGGGTAAAAGTCTCAAAATTTTCTAAGTGAAAGTAGTTATTGTTTAAAAAAAAATTCATCTGAGTATTGGAGAAAAAGAGGCTTAACAACCTACAAATGCCAAGAAAAAAGATGGTGCTTTATCTAGAAGGATAAGTAGGCATTCACCAGCTAGATAGGAATGTAAATGCTCCAGAAATAGGAAATCATTGTGCTAGTTAATATGCTGGCAAGGCCAGGACTGGTGGTGCATGCCTGTAGGCACTGCTGCTCAGGAGGCTGCAAAAGAGTGATAATTACTCAAGACCAGTCTGGGCAATGTAGTATTAAAGTCTAAAGGATTATAGTTTTGATAAATTAAATTTTCTACTTAAATTTATTTTTGACTGATGCATTAGAAACATTAAAACTGTACATTTTCATTGGATACCATGGTAATATATTTTGTAATGCTTGAATCAGGATAAAAATATCTCCTCAAAAATGTATTGTTCTTTACATTAATCATAAAAGCATCTGAAATGTGTATTTACACATGTAACATTTAAATACACTTGTGCTTAGGTAGAAGTAAAATCATGCATGAATGAAAACCTCTATAGAATTTAGGTAAACCCTCAGTCTTCCCTTTCCACTCACTATATAGCAAGAGATAAAGCACTGTGTCTTGACTTTTATAAATAGATTAAAATTACAAGTAGCTAGATGTTGGTCTAAGTGGAACATTGCTCACTTACCCTATTGTAATTGTTAATGCGATTGTTTAATTTCACCTATATTTTTAGTTTTCTTCAATAGTCCCGGTGTTAGAAGCCATTCATTGGTTTTCCTGCTCGTGTTAATATTGCATTATTATGGCTGTGGAATTTTGCTTAGTTTTCGGTATGGTTTACATTATTAGGTTAGATTTTCATAACGTACAAAACATCCAAGATGTATTAAGTTTCTAACTGATGATGTCTATTTCTTAGGGTCATCCCTAGCCCAGAATCGTGGGAAATTAGAGGCCCAAATTGAACATTTATGTAGAGAGAATGAATCTCTGACAAAAGCACATGAAAGTGATAGTGATACATTAAGAATAAAGAGCAAAATTATAGAAGACCAAACTGAAACCATCAGAAAATTAAAGGATGTAAGTTTAACATTTTCTTTTGGAGAGAGAGCAGGTAACAGATAAGAAAATAATCATGTATCTTTGTTATTCTCAACTGTTATAGTTTTTTTAATTTTTTAAATTTTATGTGTATGAGTGTTTCACCTTTATGTATATAAATGTACCCATGTCATGCAATGCCTGGGGAGGCCAGAAATGGGTATTGGATCCCCTGAAACTGGAGTTACAGACAGTTGTTAGCTGCCATAAGAGTGCTGGGAACTGAACCCAGGACCTCTCCAAGAATAACTAGTGCTCTTAAATGCTGACCCGTTTCTCCAGCCCCAGCTGCTGTAGAATTTAAAGACAATACTGTTTCCTTTTGTTTTGCTCCTTTGCTCTTAAAAGTGCTTCTTGATCCTTATTAACTTGAATTTTACTTCAGAATTTTATGGGAGAAAAGTTGGAGTTGTGGGGGCAATTTTTTGTTGTGGTGGTGGTGGTTTTTTTGGGCGGTGGTTTCTTTGGGGTTTGGGGGGGTGGGGGTTTGAGATATGGTCTCCCTATAGCTCCAGCTGACCTGGAACTTGCTATGTAAACCAGGCTGGCCTCCATCTCACACAGAGATCTGCCTGTCTCTGCTTCCTGAGTGCTGGGACTAAAGGCATGCATCACTACAAGTGGCTGTGGAAATTTTATTATTATCACCTTTGAAATAACAAAATATTTGGCATTAGTAAAGGATTAGAAATCACAAGAAAAAACAATATTGTATATTTTTAATGTATTTATGTTTTAGTTTAGACCAGGTCTAATTATTAGTGTCTGCAACATCCAATATAAATAAATTACTGTTTTTTTCTTAAAGTTTTTACAAGAAAAAGATGAGCAAATCAAATTATTACAAGAAAAGATCACTGTCATAGAAAAATGTACTCAAGAACAACTTAGTGAGAAATCTTCACAACTGGATAATATAATTGAAAAATTAGAAAGACACAGTGAAAGAAAGGAAAAACTGAAACAGCAGTTGAAAACAAAGGAATTAGAACTTGAAGAAATCAGAAAAGCTTACAGGTATTTTACAGTATTTACCAGTGAGAAAGAATGTAGCCTAATAATGTCATGTACCCATTTACTTTTAAAGGCATTTCTTCTTTTATTAGCACACTAAATCAGAAATGGCATGATAAAGGAGAACTGCTCTGTCATCTTGAAACACAAGTAAAAGAAGTGAAAGAAAAATTTGAAAACAAGGAAAAGAAACTTAAGGCAGAAAGAGACAAAAGTATCAAGCTACAAAAGTAAGCATTAAGTCATGAAGGATATGGGGTCTCTTTAAACGTACACATCGAATTGGAATGGGTGAGATGCATGTAAAAAAAGAGAAGGATGCCAGAAATATGTAGGACATAGTTTTTTCCCAAGAACTTTATTTCCATTCCATGTACAAAATGAAGAAAGTAAAAGTTCCTCCTGAAGTACTAGATATGAGGCTGATACATACATGTATGCTTACAGAATAGTGCCTTACACATTGTAATTTCTCCATGAGCATTTTGATTTTATTACTTTCATTGTTTTAGAACTCTATTTGAATGAAAGTAGCTCAAGATCCTTTTGGTTGCTATACGTGGAATTTAGAAGTCACTTGACTGCCAGGATCAGGCATAGATTTAGATAGTCTGCCTACACAGGCTGAGGAAGAGAAGTGATATTTAAAGAGAGCAAAGAAAGCATGTACTCGGCTGCTGTTGTTGGTTTGATTCTGAAAATACTAACAGAAAATAAAAAATCTTGCTATATATTTTTTTTCATGTCAAGGTGCAGAGTATATAAAAACAGCGTTAGAGATAGCTGCTCTTCCCCTCCTAAAAATGCATCCACACCCATTTCACATAAATACAAGTATATGTATATATGTGTTGTGTTTGGGGGTTTTTGTTTTTTTTTTTTTTTTTTTTTTTTTTTGGTCTTTTTGAGACAGGGTCTCCCTGTAGCTCCAGCTGCCTGGAACTCACTCTAAAAAAAAATTAAAGAGATGCAATAGAAAAGCTTCACAATATGGATGATGCCTTTAAAAAACAAATTGATGCGATTGTTGAAGCTCATCAAGCTGAAATAATACAGATAGCAACTGAGAAGCAGAAATGTATTGATTGTGCTAATTTAAAGGTACTGTAAGATTTACTTTAATAAGCAGTAATTAATGGTTATGGTTAAATGAATTAGATTTTTGGAAATTTAAAGAAAAAAGGGCTAGCCCAATATTATGACATAATTGTTTTGGAGCATGTTGCCAAAGCTATCATGAAACTGGGCAATACTTATCTCATTTATGGGAGATAACTCTAATAAACTAAAGTAGTAAGTTAGATTCCAGTGTGTACCTGGTATGGATCCCAGACAGAACACTTTTATGGACTTCACTTCAGAAAGATAACTAAGGTCAGACTGAGTTACTTTTAAAATTGCACAAACTGGAGCCTGGAGAGATGGCTCAGCAGTTAAGAGCACCATCTGCTCTTGCAGAGGACCCAAGTTCAGTTCCAGTACCCACATGGCAACTAACAACCATCCTAACTCCAGTGCTAGGGGAATCTGATGTCCTCTTCTGAACTCTGTGGGCATTTCACTTAATATACACGCAGGCAAAACACATACATAAAAAAATATTAAAAATAGTAAAGGAATTTCAGGAATTTGAGAATCATCAGCTTCATGAAATGAATAAATGTTTTGATAAAAAATTGCAGAAATTTCAACTAGAAGAGTTAGAGGATTTTTGCATTTTGGAGAGTAGGTTGAAATTTTATAAATGGGGTGCTGTCTGCTCCTGCAGAGGACCTGAGTTCAGTTCCCAGGACCCACATGGCAGCTAACAACTATCCTAGCTCCATTTCCAAGGAATCTGACCCCCTCTTCTGACCTCCACAGGTGTTGTATGACACGGGTGCACTTACATGCAGGCAATACACTCATACACATTTAAAAAATAATTTAAAAATGTTTAAAAGAGATTTCTTTGGAGAAGTTTCAGTTTGAAAACTTGCAAGGAATTAATGTTTAAGTTGAACTTATTCAATACTGACAGACAGCAGAGGACAATAGAAAGATGAAATCAGAAAACTGGGCTTCTGTCCTTTCTGTGAAACATTTCAAACCTTAAAAAATTTCAAACCTTAAACACTCTTCCAGGCACAAAATACAGTTAAAATATATTGCTGTGTCTTTGTGGGTTTTTGTGTTTGGGGAACGGGGGTCTGGCCTAGAACTCTAGAACTCACCAAGATCTGCCTGCTTCTGTCTTCTGAGTGCTGGGATTAAAAGCATGGGCCACCACATCTGGCCCATTGTTATGTCTTTTTCACAAGAATCTTATGAGGACTAAGTATACATGAAAGTACTTTAAATCTGTTTAAATAGTATTTTCCATTTTAGCATTTAACATTCATTTAGCATTTAACATTCATTAAATAGATCACAAATTACAGAGGGTACAAAAATACATTGTTGACTTTTTCAAAATGTATTAATTTTTATGAAATTAAGATGTAAAATGTATATATTGGTATAGGTTCACCAAGTTGAAGAAGAAATGCGTGAACTTCTGGAAGAAACATCCAAGAACAAAAAAGTAATGGAAGAAAAAATTAAACAACTCGCTTGTGCTCTAAATGATATTCAGAGAGGAATGTGATATTTCTGAGAATGACTTTAATTGAAATGAACCAACAAACCTATTGTAAAAATGATTAAATATTGTAATAGTAGTAAGTGCTGTTGACTTTGAAATGTCTCTTTCTACACATTTCATTATAAATACATTTTAAGACTTTTGATCAAATATTTATTAATTGTATATGTAGGTTTTTATAATAAACTATGGATAATGATGTATATTAGACAAACCTATCATAATAATTAGACTTAAAGCACTTTTTCTTATCTCTGTGGTATACCTTGTTTGTAATTACATATTTACCTGCAGATTTGCAAATGGTTAGAATCCTACTATATGAGCAAAAATTTTAATCAACTGCAGTTGACCTTACAGTCTTGATACAGAACTGATATTCTTTTAGTTGATATAACTCCACTATTTTAGCCAAAATATATTTGAAGTCTGTCTGATAAAGGATGTGGCATTGCTAAGAAAGTGGGTATAGCTGTTCACAGGGTTCATAAGTTCCTCTTTTATAATGCATTTCTTCTAATATTAAAGACTAATGTAAGTTTGTTTGGGGGGGGGCGGAGTCTGTTCTGAGGCAGAGTCTTCGTGTTGCTCCAGCTGTCCTGGAACTCACTATGTAGACCATCCTGGCCTTGAACTCACAGAGATCTGCCTGCCTCTGCCTCCTAAGTGCTGGGATTAAAGGCATGCAACACCACACCCAGCTACATTGAAGAATTTAAGGAGCACTGCTCTTCCACCCTCAGTTTTCACTCTGCCCAAAAAGAGTTCTGACTTTGCAACTGGCAGCATTTCACTTCTATCTGGTCTTTTATTGCTTTTTCACAATTGTCACCTCTTACCCTGGTAAATGTAGCCCTCCCCACCCTGTACTATTTCTGAGAGGAAGAAAATAAAATGGCAATTTGTACACTAATATCACTACCAAACTAAATTTTAAAAAGTAAATAGGACCTCCAAAATAGAACTCACTTATCATTATAGTTGAACTATATACTGTAGTCTGTGGCCCAACATCACTCATACCAACACATGTAATAGGCATCTCAGAAGGGAGATAAAGAATAATTGGAGAAATAATCACTGAAAACTTCCTAAATTTGATTTTAAATTGTTAACCTGTAGATAAAAGCAATGTTTAAGGAGCTGGAGAGATGGCTCAGAAGTTAAGAGCACTGACTGGTTTTGCAGAGGTTCTGGGTTCAATTCCCAGTACCCCATGTGGCAGCTAACAACTGTCAGTAACTCCGGTTCCAGGGAATCCAACCCTTCTGACCTCCGTGGGCATTGTACAGTGCAAGTACATTTACACACATGCAGACAATACACTCATAAAATAAAAAGTTGTTTTAAAGCAATTTTAAATTTAAAAAACATGAAAAACAGATTTTATACATGTAAACTGAACGAAATGAGAAGAAACAAAGTCTTCATCATAAGAATGCAGGTGGAAAGGATTCAAAATAACTACAAAGTAAATGCATTCCTAGGTTAATGAAGATTTATAAAATGTATTGCTTGGCAGCCTGCTTTAAGAAAGTTGAGAGGTGGGATGACTTAGCAGTTAAGAGCCCTGGCTGTCTTTCCAGCAGACCTGAATTCAGTTCCCAGTACCTACATGACAGCTAACAATGCTCCTAACTCCAGTTTCAGGAGATCTGACCTCTTCTGGCCTACACAGGCATTGCAGGACACAGGTGTACTTATGTGCAGCAAAAATATTCATACACATAAAAATGAATTTTAAGAACTTTTTAAAGAAAGTTTCCAGGGCTACAGAGATAGCTCAGTGGTTGTGGGCACTGGCTGGTCTAGCAGAGGATCCAGGTTCAGTTCCCAGCACTCACATGGTGGCTAACAACTATCAGTAGTTCCAGGGGATACAATGACACCTTCTTGCCTTTGCAGGCATTGTGCATATGTTGTGCATTTACATACATGCAGGCAAAACATTCATATACATAAAAAAAATTAAGATTTTTCTTTTAAAAAGAAAATATTGCCAAAGAAAACCCTAAGGCTGAAGGAAATTCTGACAGTTCAAACCCACTGAAGGAAGAATATCATAAGTAAATATGTGGGTGGGTTTTTATATAAAAATCTATAATTTTTACTAGATGACATAAAGCACACTTACTGAATTGATGTTATAGATGTAAGATTGCTGAAAAATAGCATAAGCCTGGTGGTGACTATCATAGGTCTGTTCATACTACATTAATATTAAAGATTAAGTATTAGTATTAAAGATTAAGGTGTTAGGGTGTATATTATAATCACTGGTGTATCCATTAAGAAAATAACTATAGAAAAATTTAAAAGTCAAAGCTAGCCATAGTGGCATTTATGGGATCACCACTCAGGAGGCTGAAGCAGGAAGACCAAGAAATGAGCCTGGGCTACATTAGAAGCTCCACATCTGAATAGCTGCACAAAAGGTTTTGCAGACCTGCTTCTCAGCAAAATAACCATGATGTCAAAAATGTTCTAAAACTCATTTAAAACTTCTAGAAGTCCTAAAGACATACAAGGTGGTGTTACCTGCCACATTACAGTTATATCTACCTAAACAGCCCCACTTTTAACTTTAGTTATGAATTGGCCCAAACTCTGGGCTCTGCCCGCCCCCCCCCCCAAGTCCAACTGTGCCGCTGAACCAGGCCTCACCCATAATTTTATTTAAAACTTTTTCCATCAATTTTGGGGATCACAAGCTTGGATCTACCTTTTTATCAATTTTGCCCTTTCATTCCTAAAACATCACATACACACAATGTCAGCCATTCTTCTCAGCTCTGATTTGTTAATTCTCAAGCATACCCACATTCATTCACTGTTGGGTGGAGCAACAAATTTAGTCACGTGCCCAGGTCACAGAGAGTACATGGCTCAGTGAGTTGCATTAGCTTTTGGGTTGTAAGGTTAATTAAAAGTCATTACTCCAGATTCTATAAGTCATTCCTGTGATACAGCAAATGAAACATTTTTTCTCAGTAACAACAAAGACCTGTAGCAGTATACTGTTTTCTCCAGTTCATCCAGGTGAAAGCTACACTAAACCGCTGAGGGATAGGAATCAGGTTTCTTCCCTTTGCTTCTGACTAAGGGCTATGGTCTCATTAGTGAACAAGCTATTAGGATTATTCATTCCTTCTTAAAGTTATCAGGCTAAATTCTGTTAGGCACAGCCAAAAAGGTAGGGTGTTCCACCCAAATTAGTTCTTCCTGGGAGAGGCAGACCTACAGGACCCAAACAAAGGGTACCTCCCCCCATCTAGCACCTGAAGTAGAAATTCAGAATATGCAGTAAAGGGACCCACCCCCAAGTTTTCCCCAAAGGGGTTTAGTTTATTTGAAACAGAATGAGGAAGTTCAAGCTAACCACACTTTAAACAACTTTTAGTAGAAATTATTACAGGAGTAGTAAACTAAATTGGTAGACATCTTGGTGGTGTTGATTTTTAGGGGTTACATTGTGTCTATACTATACTGTTAGTAAGCATATACAGATAGGGCAAACATTTCCCTTGGGTGTACGTCCCTCCTGTTGCTCTTGTAACTGAGCGTGTAGCCAGACGAGAAGCAGTATTCTGGACAGCAAGGGAATTGAGAGTCATGGCTTAGAATTTGGCTGCTCAAAGTGAGATCAGAGAACAGGAGACTCTAAATTGGTAACTTTTTAACCATGCAGATTCTCAGGTACCACCTCAGCCTCATACACTAAGCATGCACTCTCCCACCAAACTACACCCAGACAAGAATCTACATTTTAAAACATTTTATTTTTATTTTATGTGTATGAGTATATTGCCTGCATGTATGTAATATACATGCAGTGCCGTGCAATACCTGAGAAAGAAAGCATTGGATTCCCTGGAACTGGATTTACTGATGGTTGTTAGCCACTGTGTGGGTGCTGGGATTTCGAACCTGGGTCTTCTGCAAGAGAGATCAGTGCTCTTAACCACTGAGCCATCTCTCTAGCCCAAGAATCAACATTTTTAACAGAAGCACTAGGTGTTAGGAGATCATATTAACATTTGTGAATCATTGGCCCTCTGCAGTTTACTTCAGCTATGGCCCTGTCACTGCTCAGTGCAAATTAAAATGTTTAAATATCTGCCCTAACTAGGGCCTTTAAATTTCTTCTGGAGTTTTTGTATGGCTAGCCTTCTTATGGACTTGCTTTCTTTCACCTCATATATTCTTTAGGTATGACTTACTTTTCTGGTAGGCAAAGCAGTTTACCACAACAGATCACAAATGTCATTAGTGGAACTATTTGTGAAATTTCTAAGCTCTGATCTACTCAGGTGGGGCATGTGATATGGTACCATTATGGTTGGATGGAGCTATGCAATTTGTTCTGTACAATAAATTTTTAATGAAAATGGTTAAGCTGTGGACATTTTCCATTTGTCATTGCAGTATAATGTAGCTCATCTCTTTCACACTATTGGGGTGGGATTCCACATAATGTATTTTATCATATTTCTCTTTCCTCAACCCTCTAAGACATACCCCTTCCTCCCCTACTCACCCAGCTTCCTGTCATCTTTTTTTTTTCTTTTAAAGTCCATTGAATCCAATTTCTGTTACCTAAATACTCTTGGGTGTAGGGCCATCTGGTAGGTTTGCACACTATTTTTGGTGGTATTCCAAATCTCAGATTTAAAAAAAAATCATAACTTCTGGTTCCAGTTAAGGTACTCATATGCTATGCATTGGGTGTACCAAAATGGTATTGTATATAATTCCTGTCCTTTTCTCTCTGGTATCTAGTTAAATATGATCCATGAATTAAATGTTAGCTGACAATGAGTCCATTTCTTAGATGAACCAATTTCACCCATTCATAAGTCAGGTTTTCTGTCTGGTGGTGCTCAAAATTTTTTTGAACCAGATTTGTCATTTTAGGTGATATAATATGAAGGATGTTTGGGAAAAGCTATGGCATCTGCGGTATGCCCTCAGAAAGCAAACATTCCATGAGCTTTGCTTAATTATTACCCCATATGTAATCCTGAATATGCCATTTCTGCTTGCTGACAGAGTACCGGGCTCTCTCATCAGTGAGAA